CAAAGGGGGCTCTGGGTCTGGCCCCACCATTGAGGAGGTGGATTAGGGTCCTTAACCTTCATTGCTCCCTGTTTCTTTTCAAGTTGGAAGTGACCTGTGGACCTTGCTGTTGCACTGGGTTTTTTCCTACCTTCCATTTTCTACTATTTTAGTTCATTTTAAAGTTAGGTTGTTACCTGATAGTATTTGGCCTTATTATTTCTTTTTAGTATACCAGTGTGTTTGGTAGAATTTTTTGCATTTAAAGTAACTGGTACTGTAAGTCTTTTTTTTTTTTTTTTTTTTTTTTTTTTGGTCTATAAAATGAGTAAATACTGCCACCCTCTGTCCAATTTTGCTATGTAAACACCAGAAGTCTTGGAATGTCATTTTAGGTTCGTATGGTTGTTTTTTATAATTTGTATACTTCATGATGAAAAATAAAATGTTAAAAAATATGAGTCTTTTTTTATTTGAGGGGGGATAAGGGGCTCTTGGAATACCTGAATTGCATAGATCGGTGAAAGGGACAGTACTTCTGAAGAGATAGGCACTGTGAGGAGCCATGATTTGGCTACTTATGTTGGGACTTAATTGTAGGTTGCAAATGACGTCTGTGCTAGAAAATTCTAGGTGCCCATTTCCCTGGATGCACCTTTTTTAGGGGAAAAGTAGGGATGGGGACTGCAAAAAAATGGTTTGAGGGATAAGTTTTTGTGGGTTTACAGGCAGTATTGAGAGGGGTTCATGGCTCCTTATTTGCTTGCTCTTAATGTGTGCAGAGCCCTTAATTTGTCCCTTCTGAGCTATGAGTCTTCTGGCCTATTATTTAGGTTATGAGTGATAATTGGGGGTGTGTAAAGCAGCAAAAAGGAGATGCAGATACAGTGATTTACTTTGTAAATCCCAGTTCGGTGACCAAGTGCAAATTATTAGCCTTAGTTTTGGTTGTCTCCCTTAAAAAAAACAAAATTTGTCTGAATGACCTCACTTTTAAAGTTCTACATCATTTTGAGCAGAAATGTGGGATAGATAAACAGTATCTTCAGCCGTGGTCACTTTGCTGCAGTTATCCCAGCAAGGGCACAGAGCGGGAGAGTCTGAGGGTTTCGGGGGCATGACAATGAAGTTCTTTGCTTCACCCCAATAATCTTAAGTAATTCTTATCTCCCTTCCTAATTAGGTATTTTAAAGTTTTTTTCATAGATTAGCATGTGGAAGTGGTCACTTCAACTACATCCAGGGTAAAATTAGCAACAAAGGTTTTTTTCACACTGCCTCAACTCTGTTGATATTGGGTCCTATCTGGTTCTAAGTGACGGTTTTACCCCAGTTCTAATGATCAGTCACCTCCTTTTCCTTTTGGGGGGAGTCTCAAAACCATAGGAACTTAAAGTAACATCTAATTTAATTATGAAGGAGGAGCTGAAAGGAGTAGAGTGTAGAGCTGGGAAGATCAAGGAAATGGGCTTTCTTCTTCCTGTCCTAGCAGTTAGATTAAAAGTCCTTAGCATTTTCCTTAGCCTGGTAGAATCCCAACCTCCTGCCTTCCCAAAACTGGGGCTGTAAAGAACAACTCCAAAATAAAAACAAATTAAAGTTCAATTTCTGTGTTTTGTTAAAACTTCACCCTGTGGGGGAAAAAATCCAACGTTTTTAGGAATGACAAAGTAGAGAAAACCCTCCTTGACAGCTTGTAAAGGAAAGGGAATATAGTAAGTTCTTTTGGTTCCTGAACCAAGTCTCAAAGGCCTGCTTGACTCACAAAATAAGTGAACTATATACTACTATAGCCTCCTACCATAGGCCTTAGAAAGTACAGTTACATTGCTGTGGCAGCAGGAATTGCAGGCTTTCTTATCTTCCCCACCTCCCCACCATCCCACCACCCCTACCTCGCCCACCCCCTGCCTGCCAGGTAGTAGAGGGAATAGGTATATGCAAGCTCTGGAGACCTGTTTCTCCAACGTAGTGGTGTATTAAAATCATGAGGGGAGGCTAAAAAAAATACCCATTGCCTGGTCTCCACTAGGAGTCTAGTCTTTGGGGGGAGGGCTAAGGTGCCTGAGTGTTTTTGCTGTGCAGCAGAACCTGATTGCATCAGAAGCTGCTCCTGATTACCTTTTTAGAGGGCTGGGATATGGGAGAGGTAGGGAGCTGTCAGTGCTCCGAGGAGCAGCAGGTAGTGGGAAGGGGGTTTCTGCTGTGAATGGGAACAAAGGCTTGAAAGGAGTTGTTGAAAAGAGTGTTGATTAACTCAGCAGCAGTGATAGAGGTGAGGGAAATCTCCCAGGACAAACAGGTCAAAAAAGAGAATCCCTGGGACATAGTACTTTAGAAAGCAACATCAGAATATGAGAATCCAGGGGCACCTGAAGAGCATGCAACTCTTAATCTTGGGGTCCTGAGTTTGAGCCCCACATTGGTATAGAGAATTAAAAACAAAACCAAACCTTTAAAAAAAAATTTTTTTTGAAAAAATAAAAATCTTCCAAATGTCCAAAAAAAAATTTTTTTATAAAGGATATGAGAATTCAGGCTCCCTGCACATACACATATCTTGGAATTTAAGGCAAAGTTACTTTGCAACATCAACTCTGGGTGGAATTCAGTCCTTGGGAGCCCAGAAATGTACCAAATGAACGAGTGAATACTATAGGATTCTTGGAAGAGATTTTTAGATTTTTATTATTTATTTTTATTCCTAAGCTCTACATCCAACTTGGGGCTCAGACTCACTACCCCAAGATCAAGAGTTGCCCCACTGAGCCAGCCAGGCACCCCTGGGAGAGATTTTTTGATAGAAGTCTGAAATTGTGGGGCAAGGGAGGTCAGATGAAAGGTGATTGCAGAAGTAAAATGATATATTTCCTACACCCACACTGGCCTTCTTCCAAATTTTAATCTGTGTTCACTGTGCCTAAATTATGTGCCTTAAGGCTGATTTTGGGGGCGCCTGACTGGCTCAATTAAGAGAGCCTGCAACTCTTGATCTCAGGTGGTGAGTTTGAGCCCTATGTTGCATGTAGAGATTACTAAGGGGAAAAAAAAGGACTGATATCCTATGATCCGGAACCCCTAACTCATCCCCTCACCCAAGTGTCTTTCTCACAAAAGACGAGGATGCCAACACACATCACCAAACATTAACTGCAATGAGGAGCAATAGAAGGGTCCAGGAAGGTGGGATTTGGGATAATTTATGAGTTGATGGATTAAGTGGCCAAGAGCAAATGACCAGATTTCTGGGAGAGCAAAACTAGCAAAGGGAGAACAGGGCCTGGATGTTGCTACACCACCATCATTTGTTTTGCTTCCAACCCCCGTGAGATATATAGTGCTATTTAGAGTGTACTGAACGGAGTGAGTCCACTGTTTCTGGCCAACTCCCAGGCCATGCATGGCTCAGAGGACATGAAATAGGAGATGGGGTGTAGTTTAATGGGAGTAGTTCAGCTTAATGGAGTACTTTAATGGTTTTGTGTTTTAGTAGTGTAAGAGAAGAAAAGTTCTGCAGATCGGTTGCACAGCAATGTGAATATGTTCAACACTACTGACTTTACACTTAAAAGACGTTAGAATGCTTTTTTAATTTATCAAATGGGGAGCGCCTGGGTGGCTCAGACCCGTAAGCGTTGGCTTTCGGTTCAGGTCATGATCCCAGGGTCCTGGGACAGAGTTTCGCATGGCATCGGTCTCCCTGCTCATTGGGGAGCCTGCTTCTCTCTTTGCCCCTCCCCCCTGCTCGTTCTCTCTTTCTCTCTCTCTCTCAAAAATAAAAATACTTGGAAAAAATAAGTTATCAAATGGTGTATTTTTTCAAATGGTGTTTTTTTTTAAAGATTTTATTTATTTATGCATGAGACACAGACTGAGAGAGCAAGAGAGGAAGGCAGAGGGAGAAGCAGGCTCCCCGCTGAGCAAGGAGCCCAAAGCGGAATTCGATCCCACAATTGTGGGAGCACAACCTGAGCTGAAAGCAGACCCCTAACCGACTGAGCCACCCAGGAACCCTAAAATGGTGTGCTGGTGTGCTGGTTTTTTTTTTTTTTTTTTTAAGATTTTATTTATTTGAGAGAGAGAACGCAAGCAAGGGGAGAAGCAGGCGGAGAGAGGGAGAGGGAGTCGCTGACTCCCCGCTGAGTAGGGAGCCTGACGTGTGGCTCCCTTCCGGGACCTGGAGATCATGACCGGAGCGGAAGGCAGACGCTTAACCATCTGAGCCGCCCAGGCGCCCCTCAAATGGTGTTTGGTTTTTTATTTAAAAATTGTTTATTGTATGTCATTTATATCTTAAAGCTGTTTAAAAAAAAAAAAAGACATTAAGGTCTGCGGGCTGCAGTGGGTTGCGAATTCAGATTTCGCTAGCTAGACGAAGCGGGTAACAGCGTCCCGGAGGGACCCGGATCCCAAGCGGGCCCGGGTGAGGAAGAGGGAGAGGTCCCTCGGTCATTACTGCAGGGTGCACTGGCCGTCCCTGGGGAAGCCGCTTCGGAAGAGAGCACCTCTGCGCATGCGTCTGGCCCGGCCGGTCGAGAGAAAAAGTCCTCCGTCTTTTGTTTTTCAAAATTAACAAAATATGCCCATATTTGCCCGGAAGCGTGTGACACATTCTCCCCTGCCTCTCTTTCCTTTGATTTATTCTTATTTGGCCGAACGACTGGGACGACGCCGTGGGTCGAGCCTGGCATGGACGAAGACAGCCATGCCTGTCAGGCCCCCAGCCTCACGCCGCTATAAATAGCCGGGGACCAGGAGCTGTCGATCTCTTTGTGCGATGGTCTAGCTGCGTGCGATTGTTGGAGTGCTGCTTTGCCCCCCTCGGGGCTGCCGGGCTCCCTCCCCGACACCCGGGGAGGCGATGGCCCCGGCTTCCTGCGAGTAGGTGTCTCGGGGCCCTGTGGGTGAGGGGGCCGCAGTCTCGGGCTGAGCAGGATGACCTACCGTTACAGACTAGAGTTTCTGACGCGCCCGTGACGCCGTTCTTCGGAACTGACCCAGCCCAGGGCAGGGGGGACGCGGCTGGCGTCGCCCCGGCCTCTGCTGACTCCCTGTTTCTTTCCAGGCCCCTGGTCCCCGCAGGCGTGTCCGCAGCGCCGCGAGGGTGAGTGGATTGCGCGGGATGGAGTGGCTGGTGATGGTCCTGGGGGAAGACGGGGGTAATGATGAACCCAGGTGACTCTGAGTGTCTCGCTGACGCCATCACCGCAGCGCGCTGATCATCTCCCTACCCCCGGCGGGATTTTTCTGAGTTGGGGGGCTGGGGAGAAACTCATGGCCGAGAACCTGTGCTAGTAACGAATGCCTGTGTTTTCTCCACCAGGTTTCTTAAGATGTCCACCGGAGTGTTAACCGTTGAATAAAGGTGAGTGTTAGGTGTGAGATCCTTCTCCCGTGCTTCTCACCGTTTTATCCCCAAACCGGCCTCTTCGTGGGGTCAGTGTGGAATCTATTTTCTAATGAACACGCGAAGCAGTGCAAGTATTTTACCCAGTGATTTTCCAAGGACTGCTTTTTGCTTTTGTGACTATTAAAAAGCTTTTGTAATTCCCCATGTTTTGTTCAAGCATGGTTCAGTCTACTTTACTGCTGCACGTACTGGGCTTCCCTGGTGGCAGTACTTTTTGCAGTTCTGAGGTTGCCCGCCCAACCCCCCAACTTTACTCTTACCCACTTACCTCTCTACCCTTCATTTGTCACATCCTTACACTGGGGCAGTTGTCTTTCAGTGTATTACATCCCTTCCCAGAATGGCCTCCCGGGATCCAGGTCTCCTTAAATTGGGAATGATGATTTCTCAGACTAGAGTCTCTGATGCTGGTCTTGATGTCGAAAATTAAATTCTGACTCATTTGGAGAACTGGATACTTGAGTCTCAGAGAATGGGCCTACAGGGATACCTTAACTTTGCTTGTCCTTCTCATTGGGTTGTCTGTCCTGTTTTCATCTTTCTAGCGTGATTATTCTGGAAGCCTAGCTGGGGTCGTGCCCTTTCAGATTAGGCACCGGTCTGCTGGCCGAAGGGCTGAAGTTCCTGAATTTGCCCTCTTGGAGAGAGTCTGTGATGCCTAGTAATGGCTCCTGCCACTTGAACCTGCAGGCTGTGATGAGAAGAGCCAGATTGTTTCTTTCTGGCTGCTATGGTGAGTGCCCTTTTTCCTTGCAGCCCCAGAGTGGTAATGATCACCTTTTGGAACCATTAGCATTTCTCTGAGGATCTTTGAAACCGTTGATTTACTCATGTTTCTCCTATCCACCCAGGTTCACGTCTTAATTCCAGTTGCCTGCATGGTTCTAATATATGTTCTTCTATGAAATTTCAGGTGTTAACGAAGAGGATTATCTCCTTCTGGTGTTGGGCAGATCCTAGGAACTTCGATCTAACCTTCCTGCATTAACCTGTGAACAGCAGCTGTCAACTTACTGGAAAAATGAAACTGCCTGGGAATTTTGAAATGCTTAAATATTTTTAGATCAATGAGACTTCTTTAACAAAAATACTTGTTTTTATCAAAAAGATTCTAATAAAACATTTAAAGCAAAATAAAAGTTTGGTTTCCATAAAAACAAGGTGGTATGAAAAGATGTAGGGAGGTGAAAGGTAACCATCTGTGAATGAGTATCACAGCTGACAGCTATACATCTGTACCACTGTATACAGAAAGTTAAAACTAGGTTCACACTAAAATTAAGGGTTCTAGGTGGTGTGCCACAGGATTTTAATGGACTGGGTATTAACAAATAAGGTTTTTAGGGTGTTGAAATACTGACACAGGTAACTTGCCTTTCAAAGAGTCAGTGGAAACAAATGGGCCTTTATTTTAAAAGCATATACCCATGGTGGTTACCAGGGGTTGGGGAAAGGGGTAAATGGGAAATTTGGATAGAGAATTTGAAGTGTTTTTTTAGATCACAAGTAGAGAAGCAGGCAGAGAGAGGGAAGCAGACTCCCTGCTGAGCAGGGAGCCCGATGTGGGACTCGATCTCAGGACCCGGAGATCATGACCTGAGCTGAAGGCAGCGGCCTAACCCACTGAGCCACCCAGGCGCCCCGAGAATTTGAGTTTTAGAAGATGTAAAGAAGGGGTTACTGGGTGGCTCAGTGGGTTGAGCCTCTGCCTTTGGCTCAGGTCATGATCTCAGGGTCCTGGGATCAAGCCCCTCGTTGGGCTCTCTGCTCAGTTGGGGAGCCTGTTTCCCCCTCTTCTCTGTCAAATCTTCAAAAAAAAAAAAAAAATGTTAAGAATAAAGGAGATGGGGGCACCTGGGTGGCTCTGGGTTAAAGTCTCTGCCTTCAGCTCGGTCATGATCCCAGGGTCCTGGGGTTGAGCCCCACAGGCTTTCTGTGCACCAGGGAGCCTGCTTCCTCCTCTCTGCCTGCTAAATGAATAAATAAAATCTTAGAAAAAAAGATAAATCGTGGTGATGGTGGTTCAGTATTAGCATATTTAGTACTATTGAAGTGTGTGCTTGAAATTGGTTCAGATAGGGCCACCTGGGTGGCTCAGTGGGTTAAGGCACTGCCTCCTGCTTGAGTTGTGATCTCAGGGTTGAGCTTCGCATCTGTTCAGCAGGGAGCCTGCTTCCATCTCTCTGCCTACTTGTGTTCTCTCTGTCAAATAAATCTTAAAAAAAAAAAAAAAAAAGTCCAGATAGGGACACCTGGGTGGCTCAGTTAAGCTTTGGCTCAGGTTATGGTCCTGTGGTCAGGCTCCCTGCTCAGTGGTGAGCCTGCTTCTCCCTCTCCTCTTGTGGTTCCCCCTGCTTGTGCTCACTCTATCTAGCTCTGTCAAGTAAAGTCTTTAAAAAAAAAAGTTTGTAGGTTTTATGTGTATTTCATAATAGTAAAAATGGGGGGGGGAAGCATATTCATACTTCCACTATTTCAAAGATGGTTTTTCACCAGCATGTACAAATTGCCATTGCTGTTAGGACATAAAAATTATCCAGTTCTGGGGGCACCTGGGTGGCTCAGTGGGTTAAGTTGCTGCCTTTGGCTCGGGTCATGGTCTCGGGGTCCTGGGATCGAGTCCCGCGTCGGGCTCTCTGCTCAGCGGGGAGCCTGCTTCCCTCTCACTCTCTGCCGGCCTCTCTGACTACTTGTGATCTCTGTCAAATACATAAATAAAATCTTAAAAAAAAATTATCCAGTTCTTGGGAGGGGGGCATTTAGGTTTCTAGTCGCTGTAAACCAGTGCTGATTCCCTATTTGCACCCATCTGAAGTTGTATGGTATAATACACTTCCAAAAATAGAATTTCAAAGGATTTACTCGTAAAACAATGCATTGTATATTCATAAGGTTGTACAGTTTATGCTCGATGACATCAGGGTCCTCATGAGATTGACTGTTTTCCCTATATCTGTCATTGCTACTCCCAGTGGGAACACTTGACACCAGTTTAGTGCTGTTAACTCAGTACATTTTAGTCTCTCTTTAAGATTATTTATTAGAGAGAGTGAGTGAGAGCATGATAGGGGAGAAGGTCAGAGGGAGAAGCAGACTCCCCATGGAGCTGGGAGCCTGATGCAGGACTTGATTCCGGGACTTCGGGACCATGACCTGAGCTGAAGGCAGTTACTTAACCAACTGAGCCACCCAGGCACCCACTTTTTAGTCTTTTTTAACCTTTGCCACTTTATTAAGTATAATCTCTATCCCGCAATGTGGGGCTTGAACTTAAACTTCGAGATCAGGAGTCCTGTGCTCTATCAGCTGAGTCAGATGAGTAAATCTCTTTAAAAGTAAATTTCTTCTGTATTTGCCTACAGAAAAAAAAAAAAAAAATTTTTTTTTTTTTTTTTTTTTAGATTTTGTGAGAGTGACTACATGAGCAGAGGGAGGAGGGAAAGGGAGAAGCAGACTCCCTGCTCACTTGATCTCAGGACCCTGAGATTGTGACCTAAGCCAAAGGCAGATCTCCAACCAACTGAACAACCAGGTGCCCCTGCCTACTGTTTCCAGCTTGGTCCCCACCGTTTATTTTATTTATTTTATTTTATTAAAAGATTTTATTTACTTGACAGAGAGATCACAAGTAGGCAGAGCAGCAGGCAGAGGGAGAGGGGGAAGCAGACTTCCTGCTGAGCAGAGAGCCCGACGCAGGTCTTGATCCCAGGACCCTGAGATCACAACCTGAGCCGAAGGCAGAGGCTTAACCCACTGAGCCACCCAGGCGCCCTAGTCACCATTTTATTTAAAAGAAAAAAAAAAATTTTTTTAAAGATTTTATTTATTTATATGACAGACAGAGATCACAAGCAGGCAGAGCAGGCAGAGAGAGAGGGGGAAGCAGGCTCCCCGCTGAGCAGAGAGCCCGATGCGGGGCTCGATCCCAGGATCCTGGGATCATGACCTGAGCTGAAGGCAGAGGCTTTTACCCACTGAGCCACCCAGGCACCCCAAGAAAAAAAAAAATTTAAGATTTTATTGAGAGAAAGCGCAAGCTGGGGGATGGCAGAGTGAGAGATAAGCAGACTTGGAGCTCAGCTGGGAGCTCTACGCAGGGCTCCATCCCAGGACCCCAAGATCATGACCTGAGCCAAAGTCAGACACCTAACTGACTGGATCATGCAGGCTCCCCACGCCACCACCACTTTAAATTAGCATAGATAGGGATGCCTAGGTGGTGTCCCTGGAATGTCTGATTTGCTTTCAGCTCAGGTTAGGGTTGTGGGATGGAGCAAGGAATCAGGTTCTCTCCCTCTGCCCCGCCCCTTGTGTACATGCTAGCTCTCTTGCTCTCTAAAATAAATCTTAAAATAATAAATTAGAAATGATTTCCCCCCAGCCTTTATTTTTCTTAATCACCTTTGCTAGTTTTGTTTTTTTCTTCCATACATTAACCTGCTTGGTACTTTCTGAAAGACAGTGTCTAGTTTGCTGCTTGCATTGCTGTTCCCTAATAAAGGATGCCCTGGGCTTTAGTCCTTGGCCCAAAACCTTAGGATTAGCCCTGCTTAAAAGGGACTTGTTCTCTAAAACTTCATGTATTAAAGTAGGTAATAATTAATTAGGATTCTTAAAATCCCTCACCTGGGCTCTTGTTCTGAAGACAAGAACCGAATTAGTCTGTTACCAGTCAAGGTCACTTTGTGGAGGGGATTGAGACTGGGATGGGGTGAGGGTAGGAGGAGACTTGGACTTTTTCCTCCAGGGATTTCTGAATCAGTACCATGAAGAATGTACCAGTTTATGATGCAAGTTCCCAAGCACATAATTTTGTTTGGCTCTTAGGCATCATCCTATTTTATCTTCCTGTTTTATCTTCACAGCCAGTGGTGCTTAGATCTGTGCGAAGCTTTTCATGTGCTTCACTTCATTGGATCCTTAAAGCTCAATCTTGCAACTTTTGATAGTATCTCCCTCACTTCAGGGGCAAGGAAAGGAAGGCTCAGGATGTGAGAGAATTAGCTTAAGGTCAGAAAGTATCAGTCTGGATTCAAATTCCTTTTTATCTGCTTTACAGTCGTCCAGCTTTAGAGCATTACCAGTAACTGAAGCAAACCTGCCTTTTTTTTTTTTTTAAGACCTTATTTATTTATTTGACAGAGAGATCACAAGTAGGCAGAGAGGTAGGCAGAGAGAGGGGGGAAGCAGGCTCCCTTCGGAGCAGAGAGTCTGACACGGGGCTCTATCCCAAGACCCTGAGATCATGACCTGAGCCGAAGGCAGAGGCTTAACCCACTGAGCCAACCAGGCGTCCCGCAAACCTGCCTTTGATTCACTTTCCATTTTAATCCCTCCCACTCAGCTGAATTGTGGCTGTTACCATTCCCTGACTTTTCTTATAATTTTACTCTGAATATATCCCTAAACAACATAGCGTGTTTGATATATTTTTGAACTTAATAAATATGGAATAATTGTTCATGTAGTTCTATTGCAACTTGATTTTTTAAAAATATTTTATTTATTTATTTGACAGAGATCACAAGTAGGCAGAGAGGCAGGCAGAGAGAGAGAGGAAGGGAAGCAGGCTCCCTGCTGAGCAGAGAGAGCCCAATGCAGGGCTTGATCCCAGGAC